TTCTAACTGCGCCCATATTTTTTTTGATTAAAGAATTATGTGATTGGTAATGGGCGATTATCACCACACATCACAGTTATATAATAAATGCTTTAAAGATTTTTATATACATTTTATTCTCTAACGATTTGACATTTCAGAGGTTTGAACTTGATTTGATAATACTTTTTGTCTTGACTCTATTTCAATTCTTTGAACTATCTTAACTCCTTAGTAACAACTATTACTTTTTCATAACCCCACCTAAATGTAGGAAACACCTACAGCAAGCAGGAACAAATAAGGCATGATAGTATATGGATTTCAATATTTTACAAAAATTTTGCCAGATCTACTCCATTGGACTACCCTTTGCAACTCGCCAAGCGACCGATCGACCCATGTGTGTGCGATTGGCTGCCATTCGCGCACAGAATTAGATTCAAATCAAATCGATTCGTATCGAAACGAATTAAAATGTGTTGAATTGGATGGCTGTTGAATTGTTTTGGGTATTAAGGCGCAAATATTGTCACATTTGCATTTCAATTTCACATCCAATGAACCAACAACGAAGGCGATCAGTATGCACAAAGTCACTTCCTCACTTCGGCCGCAACGCCTGCAATACGGCTGAGCAGCTAAGCTACTACAAAAAAGCACCTTGAAGAACGCGAAAGGCGAAAATAGACACTTTTGTGTACAGTTAGCGCATTTTTATGCTGCCCACACAGCCACACACATTTCTATAAAAATAATCACATTCAAATTGGATGACAAAAGTTCGTTCAAAATAATAAAAAGAAGAAACGATAGATGAAAGCATAACGTCACAACATCTCGAGAATTGGCGGCGAGTGACAATCAATGCACTTCAAACACACTTATATCTACCTCCCGCCAATGTTCAGCGCCGCAGCCTCAGCGTCGTATCTTTCATGTCAAACGTGTGCTAAATATTCCCTTTCTCGCTGTTCGTTCGTTCATTCGAAATTGTTGTATTGAAATTGAAAATTGTGCTGTAAATGACCTGAAAATTTAAAATTGTTTTCTTACTCGTCGCCGCCGCAGTCCGCAATGCGCCGACGAGGCGTGGTCATGGCGGGCATGGCATGTGTTACTTACACGGCGTAGACATTCATGCCACAATGATCACCTTTCGGTAAGGTTCTCTTTTATTTTCGCTTCTTCGACAATGTTCGCAAACGTTCGTCACGTAACTCAAATCGGATCCACATCTGATGTATGGTACGAGTATAAGCTTGCAACCGTGTTGGTTTCAATATACTTTTTGTTGTTGTATGCTGGCCTTTGGTCAATGAACCGCGCTAATGATCGATTTTCTGTGGTCTTAGCTGCCGAAGGAGACTATTGCCAATTTTTGATTGCCATTTTTTCGCATTGCTTTGACATTTTTCAAGCTGTTTACGCCACTTTCTACTGATGTCTATAGCTATTCTTAGTATTTCCTTGATTACTCTGTGCTATTTGCAGGCAAACTTTCAGTTTCTTTTCTACATTACAATAAGTATTAGAAAATATCTTTACATTGTTTGCTTTCTCTTGATTGTTTTTTATCTTTTGCGCACATTATTTTGAAGATTGATTTGTTGGCAAGGCAAAACTCGTTGAAATACCCATACAGAGAAATAAACTTCTAAACCCTTAGCCTCGTTTTGACTAAGAAGGAGTATCTTGGATCTACACAATTATGGTCAGACCGATGGTGTACACTATGGTCTGGTGAAGCAAACTCTCATTGTGGAAAGTATTATTTTTCAAACACATAGTAACAGCAATTGGATGTGAAGGATCCTTAAAACTAAATGCTTATGTTACATAGCACTTAGCACATTAAGAATACTGGAAAACGTTTATGCGACTGCAGTACCATGAAGGCATTTGCCTGCTTTCTTACTTCCCTTAAATCATGGCAATTACTCAGTGAAGACTTTAGACTAATTTAAACAATTGCCGAAAGAACAAATCTACAAATATAGAAGACAAAGTGGAACATTCGTTTTGTTAAGTCAAAATTATGTTATTGGCTTCAATGGACACTGAGGTTTTAAAGAGTGGAGATCCGGGAAATAAACGTGAAGAGATATTTGTATAAGCTCGAATCTCCATCCTGCAAAAACCTTCGCAGTAATCTCGCTTCATAAGCAAAGAGACTTTTAGAAAAAGACAGCACTGCTCGAGAACGTGACTTTAGGCAGGCCTCAACTAACGAGGTCATCAGCATTGCAGTTATTCAATATCAAATTGTATCCAATAATATCCACAACAGAGTAGAATGAATCAAAGGCACGTGCACACCGATGAGCGAACGGAAAGAAGGCACATAAGCAAGCCCCGATATAAGATGACGACAATTCTCTTTCAAGCCAAATTTTCTGGCAATTTGTGGTGTAGTGCTTAGCTAGAACTCACTTGGTTTCCCTCGAAAAAATTAGCGGTCAAACGGCCAAAAAACTAACCTATACCATTTCTGTCTTGTTCGCTTCTAAAGGAGGCCAAATACCCTTACGATGAAATCACAGTTTGTATAACCTTAACCACTCCTCATAGAAGACAAAGAAGCAACGGTATGCAGGTAAACTAGACACACGCCTCTCCAAACTGACCAAGCTGCCATCAAAGCCCTTTAATCTAACCGCAGTTTGAGCAAAAATCGAAAAACATATAAATAATTGAATTAAAAATTAATTTCTATGCAAATATTTATTTAACTTATTTACTGTGCTATCCTACACCCATTTATATTGAAATTTAATTGCGGAAATATTTCAGTTAGGCCATTTTATTATGGCTCGACGTCTGCAATTCACTTAAGGCTTGTTGCTGTGACGCCTTCAGGGGGCTAAGTATATTATTAAACGTGCCGGTATTTTACTTAATGTTGTCGGAAGTGTAAATTATTTTGGTCAACAATTAGTTTATAGTAAAAATTTTTGGCCGATGTCTACGTCTACCTCTAAATATGTTGGCGACTTGAATGAAATGAAAACCGAAAGACGATGAATGAAAAAATGGGCAGTGGCCAATTACAAACAAACATACAACTATTTTATTAAAAATTTTGCAAAATGCAAATATTTTAAATTATCGACATGTACCGCAATTTTCATTTGGTTATATGTCTTAATTTATTTTTTTTCTGCTGCTCACTTCTTGAAGCCTGTTATTTTTATTGAAAACTTTTTAATTAAGATTTTACACTTTTTTACAAACCAAACCACTTGACTTCTCCACTCACGACTAAATTATATGTTCGCAACTGTATATACATACATTAAAAATTAATTACAAAATGTATGTACCTAAATATGTATGCATATACAATCGCGGCCATATAAATGGCAACGACGAAAACTTGAAGAAGAAATTTTTTTCTCGCCGGTAAAATAAATATTTCTGAAGCAGGTTGACTATGGGAATAGTAAAGATTATAGACGAAACAAAACTTGTATCCGATACAGGATTATTATAACGCAAGATGGCCGAAGTCATAGAAGTTATAAGATGATATTTACATCTTTAATAAACTAGAACTTTTTTATTGGTTTTTATCAGTGTTGATCACAAGAGCTGTGATATTTATCAAGTCAATACTGGTTAAAAAGAATGTTGAGTATTGTCTTGCAGCTTTCGAGACAGAGTTTCAAATGGTAAGTGAAATCCCCGTATAAACGACAGTGGACAGCTCTAGCTAATCACATAGCCAGCCTGATATCAGCGCTGTTTGAAGGATGACTGATCTATCTATGAAAAGTTACATTGGATTATCTTAATAAAGGGATAGAGAGAGAGCAAAAGAGAGGAAGAGTTTAAAGGATAAAGTAGAGTAAAGAGAAAGAGAATGTAAGAAAGACGTTAACAAGAGATAAAAAGAAAAAATCAAACGGAAAGCAAGACTACTGAAGAAATATTAAAAGAAGACTAATTGGCTTGGAGTAGTTAACTGGTTAGGTGTCAAGATTTGAAAAAATTATAACATAGCATCATTAAATGGACTTGACTTGACAAAAAGTTGAAAAAAAATATTATTTAAAAGTAATGACTGTTTGAGTTGATCCAGTTCCAGCCGAAGCTCCTTGCGATGACCATCACTAACCTTTGGAGATTCATCTAAAATCAATCGGTAAAAAAAGTTAGTATTATTAATAGATAACCTAGTGCCCTGATCGAAGCTTTTTTTTAAATGTAAAAAATGGCTGCATAATATATAAAATTTTTCCTGATTTTCGGAAACACACCAACATTTAATTGTTTATAAAAAATCGAATAATAAAATCCTTTGATCAGAGCACTAGTTTTTCATGTTTTGAAAAGGCAGTAAGATTCCGGTTTTTCAGCTACAGTGGTCACCAATTCCAAAAACATAGTTTTCAGAACTTCCATAGTAATTTACTTAAAATTTTCAAAGAATATTTCTAAGACATAATACTGTGAGAAAATGAATAGATGTTGAAATATCCTTTAAAGTAAAATGTGGCTATTCACATCTTATAAGATATCTTTTAGCATGTTAATTTTCATTAATGATCTTATTTTCCTGACCAAAACTGTCTGCGCCTGTCTGTATTTTATGCAACGCATCTATTGCTTGCTGCCAATGTTTATTTTGGTGACAAGCAAATTGACAACTTTAACAGGCCAACATGAAAACTTTGCCAGCAACAACAGCAACTACAACAAGGTGAAGAAGTATTAGTGCCAGATCAAACAAGCAAAACACCATAATAACAGCCTGTAGAACAAGCACTAACAACACGCATGCGTGAATAACATATGTATTTTTACTACTTAAGTATACATATACATATATAATATATATCTACTAGTGTATATGTGTACATATATGTAAAAATATACATAAAAGTACATAAATTGACACTAAGCTTTTAGAGTTATTTATTAAACAAATATGCTTACTTATACATACATAAATATATACTTATGCTTTAATAAAATCATATGTATATATACAATACATTAGGGTGTCTATTATTTAATAGGTTGATTTTTATATTTGAAACACGGGATATTAAGTACGCCACGAAGAAGGCATCACACAGAAGGAAGCATCGGAGGTCCTATAAATTATGTACCTTAAACTTTGAGTAAAAAATATTCTTTTACAATATTGTGCTTTTTAAATTGCCCATAACTTTTCAAGGAATGTTTTCGTGGAAAAAATCATTATGACAATAGTCGAAATACGTCGAAAAGAGACAGCATAAATTTCCATAGAAGTTTCGAGAAGTTGTGAAATATCTATGTAGCTGTTATCCCGTGCAATAAACCAAAAGTGTTGCGTGCTGCTGTGCAATAACTATTTTTGTGTTAAAAAAATAAATCAATAACGATGGAGTTTTCAAATATAATATACGAAAAAAATTATTAAGTTTCAAATAAAATTAAATTTTTAGTTAATTTTCATTTTTATTTAGGCATTTTTAAATTCCGAATTATTCACGAACTGGAGAAACACGTACAGCACAGCTTTTGAGAGGAGCAAGCACGGAATTAATCGAAAATTTCTTTTCATGACCTAGTATGTAATTATATTTTTGTTACTATCCTTTTTTATATTAATGTACTCGTATATTATTACAAATAATTTTAATTGAAAGTTTTGAATTTATTAAAGTAATAAAAATTGTATTATATACAGCGCAAAAGAATTTTTTACTTGTGGTAGATTTACATTCATAACTGGCAATCAATTCCGAATACCCATGTGTTAAAGAGAGATGCAAATTCACACACAAACATATTTTTAAATCAGGTTTTGCACAAGGCTCTTAAGAAAATGATAGAAACTTTGTTTTGCGCGCTGGCAACACTTTTTCAGCTATGACTGTCATATTACCGGTCAGATGGCTGTCACTGTTCTTATAGGGAATGTACATATAATATGTATGTATCAGAGTAGAGTGTATATGACTGGTATATGAATTTGGTAGATGATGAAAACAGTAAGCAAATAAAAACTATGAACGAGCTGTGCAAACATAGAAACAAGCATACATAACATATGTATGTATGTATGTGCGAAGACGTTTTGAAAAACTTTGTGTAAATATTATCACTTCTTTCTTCATCAAATAATGGAAAGCGTGTCCAACACACGTGCTACCAACAAATGATCGAAACGCACACATTAAAGTATCAAATATTTATTTATAAAATGATATAACCCAGTGATGGAAAGCGATGATTAAATTTGTCAAGATCAGCTTTGTCGTAATCAGCAACAACTTTTAAATGTTACCAATACTGTAATATTTCATTTATTTGATCAATTTTTTTGAATGAAAAGTTTTAAAATGTTGCCCACATTGTAATATTCTCTTTATTCTATCAATTTAACTGTAAAAAAAACTCTAAATGGACGGCAATGTTTTTCAAAATATGTACAGCTAAAAGGAGTATTATCCTTAGTTTGATTTCAATACTTTATAATTATTTTAGTTTATTTTATAATTCGGTTGCAATTAAAATAGTAAATAGCTAGCAACCTTCGCAAAAAATATTCGACTGCAAGGTTGACTTAACTGCTGCTGTGGCAAACCCACATTGTTAACTTAATCTTATATATATTTTTACCTCTACACAGTTTAAAAAAAGTGGCAACATTGCTTAAAAATATAAACGACAGCAATTTTACTAAAGCCTGTTTAGTTTGATGCCCATTGCGTAATATTCAAATAATATAATTAAAAAAAGGTGGCAACCCTTTTCAAAATATGTGCAGCTAAAAGGAGTCTTCTCTTTACTTTGATTTCAATATTGTATTAATAATTTGTTTATCTTATAATTTGCTTGAATTTAAAGTAGTAATTGGCTGACAACCTTTCGCAAAAAATAATCGACTGTAAGATTGACTATTGGTTAATTGATGGTGTCAACATTTAGTTATTGGAACAGACGCATGCTATGTGTTTTTCCAAAGGCATTTGCTTTTATGTGAACATTTTAGTTTCCTTTTTGTTTTTACCCTTCTTTTGCCTTCTTCACAAATAAGATAAAGAAGTCTTCCATTTTACACATAAATCGTAAAATTCTTCTCATAAATAGGGTTATATATAATCACGATTCACATCCGATCAATCGATTTTACATATAAATAATATTCAGTGGATTCCTTGAGACGACTATGATGTTCAAATAAAGTAAAGTACTTTATTTAGTTTTCGAGTTATAAGGTGAAAAAGTTAAAGTCTGGTAAAAGTAGCCACTGTTTGAAAAGCTGCTTCTGAACAAAAGATTATATAGATTATATATACTATATATAGAATATTTCTTGCTAACCTTAAACCAATGATTATTTGAGATTCGCACTGATTATGGCTGGCTTATGGCAGTGCTAGAACGCAAGATAACAACGGACATCCAACTCGTTCTCACTCCGATATGAGCGGGATAAAAGTGTCACCTCTGGCTAGCTCATCTAGTTTGTAGTTTCCATCCTCGGAATCGTTAATTATAACAAAAACTATTATGTTTTAATGTAATAGCGGTCACCGGGCACCGACATCAATAAAAAAAAAATTCCAATACCAAAAAACTGAAAGTAATATCGTAATTTTTTCGGTTCCCTCATTTCATCATCAACTTAAAAATATCAAAATAATCATTAAGAAAATACCATTTTGATTCAATTAAATTATTCCCACAAACACACGAGATCCATAGAGATTTGAACCCTCCGATAGGAACCGCAATTGCAAGTAGTTCTCACACTTTGTAATTGAAATGAGTGACAGTACGGAATTTCAATTTTGCAATTCTACGCGAAAAATTCAAAATTTACAACAAACAATAAAAACAACAACAACTACATAAAGTAAAACACAAGAAGTGGTCGCATTGCGCACACTTGAATTTCGCTTTCGATGTCAATAATCGCAGGCAGGCAGCCAGCCAGCTAGCTACCCTTTCCTGTCACATACTTCCATACATCACACATTATTATATATTATAAGCATTTGTATGTATGGGTGTAGCCATCAAGAAGTTCAAAAAAGTGAAAACAAACCGCCAAGCCCCAACGATAACCGCGTGTATACAAAAATATGAGCGAGGGGAAAGAAGATGGCAGCATAAAGTGAAAAATTAAACTAAAATATACAATAATCACGAAAAAATATTAAAAATGAAATGAAAAGTAGCAACTAAAACACTCCTCACGACAAGTCGCAACGCTGATAAGTCAAGCGTCGATTGTGAACACATGTGTTTTGCGGCTTGGGGGTCCCTACGGCATGGATTTTGTGGCACATATTAATACTTCAATTTGTTGCTGATTTTGTTTTACTGTATATTACACATACACACACACCTTTTATCTAGCATCGAGCAAACAAAAAAAGTTTAAAAAAGTAAAGGAACACCACACAGCCTAACCAATTTCTGTGGCCGCTGAGTGGGAATATGAAAATAAGTAGGTACGAGTATATAGGTGTTTGCCAAGGAATATATTTATGAATATTTGAAGCATGTTCTTCGTTTTGCATATCCGGATAAGTTAACGGCCGACACTGTGTTATTGGATAACTCTGAAGGCGCGTATGACGTATACTTTCAGTTCATTTAATATGCGAAAATATTCCGAGCAAAAAGTTGCCCGACAATTCAATTAAACCAAAATTAAAGGATTTTTCGAGTTGTTGACTCAATCCTTGTGGCTACCAATTAATTCAAAATTCGGACTTTCATATAGTTTTAATCTTATCTTGCTTTAAAAGTGTACACAAGAGAAAAAGTTAATGAGTTCTATTTTAGGTTAAAATTACCATAAATTTTGAATAAGTAATATTTTTTAATTATTACAACAACATTACTTCTGAAAACTTCAACCTCAGATGTCAGTCAATACTGAGCCGAGTTTCTATAGAAATGAGAGACGAGATACAAGCTAATAAACGTCGAAAGCATGTTTAAGTTATAGAGAGAACACTTATCGAAACTTCTACATGAAGGCAGGAAATAGGACAACGGGGAAAGTGACGAACTCAAAGACCTTAAAGAAGATCATGGAATTGATTTTCCATTATGCAACTACGAAAATCGATTTGTAATAATATGGCTAGCCATGGAGCCGATATATTACAAGCCAAGAATTTCAAATATTATCACCGAGAAGAATATGGTCGGGACCATCTTTGATATAAAAAGAAAATTATCACAATTTGTTCTTACTACCGGAATATCACTCTAAAATGTATAGATCCAGAAACGACATCTTCTTTAATTGAACCTTCTCTATGTAGCTTGACAAGAACAATTTATCAAATATGCACTTTTGCAATGTTCGAGGTAAATATTCTGCGCATGATTTAAGGGTATTTTCACAGTTTAAGGCATTTGCAATAATGCAAACAATACAACTCCTTAACGTATTAACTGCTTTGCGAAGATCATTTGAAGAAAAACCTCTAACTACAAGCTTTTGATATTCTAGTAAGCAATGCCGAATTGAACTTTCTCTGAATTTAAAAGGTATAGAGTTCATATTCCAAAGCACTATAATTTTTTTGATGGAAATTTTATATAACATAAAAGTCAACGGTTGTTCTGGTGTAGGAAAAATTTCAGGTTCCATTCTGGCTTACAAAACTTTTCCTATGAACTCAGAGGACCTACATATGTAAGTTTCAATGATAGATCTATATTCTAGAGAATCTATGTCTATCTGTAAGTCTAAGCTATACTGGGTATCATTAGAACTGTGAGCTGTTAGAATAAAAAAAGTCAATATCGGAACTTTCGTGAAATATTCATGATCCGCCAAAAACCGTAACGGAAGATTATCATATTAAAGAAATATTAGCTTTCAAATTTTAGACCGGAATTCCAGATACAATTTACACAGAATATAAGTATGTATACCGACCTTTTTTATATTTATTACGTATTACGTATATTTTGTATTTATTATATATTTTTTTGATGCCCACTTCCCATTTGGCTATGGTTCATCGTGTTGCATTATCGCGACTCGGGTGACTCAATTGGAGAACTCTGTTGACAATATGCTTTGTTTTGGGTTTTATTTTCGTTTGGTAATTTTTCAACACTTTATTTCATACTTATTAATGCATAGTTTTAACCATGCTTACGCTCAGCTTTTTTGATTATTTAAGTTGATACTTTATTACAAAAAGTTTTGCGCATACATTTTTTATACCCTGAACAGCTTATGTATATTAAGTTTGCCATGAAGTTTGTAACACCCAAAAGGAATCATCGGATACCTTATAAAATATATGTATATATAAATGATCACCATAACGAGCTCGATTTAGCTATGTTCGTCTGTTCTATCATTCAAATTGATCAATCACAATTTAGATAAATATCTTTCTATTCCCCACTATATATGCATCTTAGGTGCAGCCGAAGTTAACGTTTTTTCTTGTTTTTGTTTTAATTACTGTTACGTTTTGCAATAATTTACGTCAAATGCTGTGTACATGAGAACTTAAATAACTTTGAACACATAATTAAGCATTTGAATTTGATATATAATAAGATTCTAAAGTACGTATCGACACTTTAATTACATAAATTTTGTATATACATAAATATT